CGAATATACCTGCGGGAATGGCTGCTGCAGGTCCTCCACTGGGACCGATGTTGGGACAGGTGAGTTAGCCGGCCCTAAAATTGACAAACATGTAATTGCTTATACTACCACACGCAGAGGGCCATTAATATTGCCGCCTTTTGCAAGGACTTTAATGCCAAGACCGCGGAAATGAAAGAGGGCGTGCCACTGCCTTGCAGGATTTCCGTAAACAGCGATCGCAGCTACGACTTGGTCATCCACCATCCGCCGGCCACATTTTTCCTCAAGCAAGCGGCGGGCATACAAAGGGGCACCATGACTCCGGGCAAGGAGGTGGCCGGCATGATCACCCTCAAGCATTTGTACGAGATCGCAGCCATTAAGATCCAGGACCCGCCCAATGCACTTCTTACCATGCAGGTAGGTAATCCAAAAAATGTTGATACTTAACACCGATGTAAATTATTCCTTGTTTTTCAGCAAATGTGTGAGATGCTCATCAGCATTGCCCGGACCTGTGGGATCAAAGTGGTCAGGGAAATAGATCCGGCGGCCTATGGCGAGTTCCTGGAGGAGCGCAAGATTATTACGGAGCAGCAACGGCGCGAGTTGCAGGAGAAGCGGGAAGCCAAGATGTTGCGCACGGGCTAGGTTTGCTTATTTGCACTGTGCTTTTAATTGTTTACAATAAATTTATACTTAAAGCGTAGGTCTTATTCTATACCAATGCGTTTGCGGTCCTTAGCGGCGTTCTTCTTGCGTCGCTTTTCCATGTGCTTGTTGAGTTTCCCAGTGTTTTTCAGCTTCTCGAATTGGGCTACTAGCTCCTTAGCTCGCCGCTCCTCTGTCGGGATAAAACAAAATTAGAACTTGAAATCGCTGCCTTTCGGAAACGTACTCTTTGTCTGATAATGAGGTTGTTGTCCAAGATCGTGTTTCTTCTGGATGACAGAGCGCTCCTTTTTGAGTTGCTTCTGTTTGGTGTGCCACTTCTTGTCCTCCACATTTTTATTGATAAGTCGCTGCATGGTATCCTTTATATTGTGCTTCTCTGCTTCATCCTCAACCTCGTCAAGTTGCTTCTTCAGCTGGCCAACTTCCTTTGCTCGAATTTGGGAGACAAATTGGTAGTTTTTCTTGAAGGTTTCTGCACTATATGTTCCAGATTTCTCGTCGAATCTTGGATCTCTAAGTTCTACATTTTTTTTGCGATCCACTCTGTGCTCTGCGCCCAAAAATGGAACCTGTCGCCTGGTGGTCATTTCACGGGGTCTGTTTTTGTTCAGGCGCTTGAGGTCGGTCTTGGTCTTGGGTCTTTGGGGTCTGGAACTCTTGCTACCGAGCACAGCCTCCTTGTATACCTTGGCGCCTAGCTCCTCTTTTAGTTTCATTATCTCCTCAAACGACATTCCTTTGAGATCTTCACGAATGGCATTCTAAAACGAAGTTCCTGCATATGTAAACCATATTTCGGTATAGATGTGGTACTTTACCTGAGTTTCGTCGTCATTGCTTGGCTCGTGCTCAGAATCCGAAGAGGAATCACTGGGAGAGGACATAACTGCTTTAGTTTCCTTCAAAAACTTTATTTATTTACTTTTTTAAAATTCACGTGTGTTTGTTTCGGCTTTAATCAGCTGATTGCTGGGCCCGATAACGATACGTAACGATAAGCGCTGCGACACATGTTAGTCAACACTGAACTTAGTCACCCGCTTTATTTGAATTTATGGTCGAACTAGAAGAAGCATTAAATCTAGATTCGTTGAAAAGTATGTATCAGGTAAAAGGAAGCGATCCGAATCCCAGTTTCCCAATTGTTGAGTAGTGGGCATCTGATAGTCGGGAACTCGACTATATCGTCCTCGCTTGTTTTTTCCTACCTCTTAATAATATAACTTTATCTGTTTTAATAAAGAGACTTTTGTTTAGAGTAATTCTCAATGGTGTGATTTATTTTTGATTTAATTGCAAGTCTTACATAGTAAGGTAAACAAACGTGAATAATTTTTTCAATCGTTAGGGAACAAAAACAAGCAACAAAATGTACAGGAAATATACACAATTAATACAATTGCCACAACTAAATTCAGAAATAGTTATAAATCGGCTCGTAAAGTTGTCTGGATTTTGATTTTTAGGCGAGCGGCAGAGTAACTAGAAAAATAGTTGTAAAACTTTATTTTTGTTGACATTTTAACAGTCAATTTTGATTAGCACACGCAGACCAATAAAAAATTAATCAAAATGCTCTTAAACACGTTAATTCTAAGCAATTCAGTTACAGTTACATTCGTCAAATGTAAATATTTTATATAGGTTCCGTATATGTATATTTAGTTTATATTTATGCTCTACAGTATATAAGTAGTTTGCTTTGTACACGTACACACATTTAAAGTAAACTTGATTGCAACAACTAGGAGAGTGTGGGACCGGATTATTCATATTAACCGAGTGAATCTTGAATCAAATATCTATCGTATTCGTATTTTGCTTGAGTTCGAGTTCAAAAATTGACTGCTGTGTATCTTTTAAGCTAATATTTATATTTATACAATCAAACACAGTACGAAAAGTATTATCCATTCATCTTCAATTTCTGCCTTCTGTTCTTTTTTTTTTCAGAGCGGTTCGATCACTCAATATTTGTGCTGTGCTCACAACGTGTTGGATGTGTGGGAAATATCATATAATATTGCTATAATATTGCACCTCAGTGCATACAGTATATTAGTTAGCTATAAAGTAGATTTCAAGCCGATCACAGTCGAGGACTAGTAGTGATCCCGATCCGACTTCCTGATGCCCGATGCCTGGTATGTAGCCTCAAAGTTCTTAACTAGGGTTTCGTACACATAATAGTATCTCATACGTTTGTTTGACTAGCACGATTTCGGTTAGGGTGACTACGTACACTCTTAGCTAGTTGTTTGGGTTGGATCTACTTAGTTAGTTAGTTTAGTTTCGCGGTGTTCGACCACCTAACAGCGACAGACAGATAGATATATTAATGGATAGATAGATAGATAGGGAGAGAGGATAGTATCCGACAAAGGTTCAACCCGGGGGCTTCGCACCTGCGGGACCGTAAATAGATCACATATTTTGACATTCACTTATGCTTAATATTGCAAGTGCATTTGCTTCTGCCTAATGCTCATCGGCTTGTACATATATGGGTAGTTATAGTTAAAACGTATATCAAACATGTACATATACTCCTGCCTTCGTCTTCGTCTTCGATTTCGATTAGGTTTGATGGGTTTCTTGTTGGTGAAATTATACTTAGGAGTTTGAAATGCTGGCTGTTTCAGGAATGTTTCAATTAAAACCACTTTATAAGTTTCTAAAGCTTGATACATAATTTTGGTTTCCAATAAATAATAAAAGTCATAAGATAGGATGAAACTATTTATACCAATATTTAGCAGGGACCTTAATTTACTGTACTAACACTTAAAGCAATAGTTATTTCATGGAAAGATGTAGTTTCACCAACAAAAACATTCAAGCCAAACGAAATCGAGTACCAAATCCTGCAATGGGTACAGGTGGAGCACAACAAGATGTTTTTTGTGAGTTTTGCAAACTCCAAAATCCAATTAGAACTCGGTCATCCCCCCTCCGCACTTGTGGTCAGTTTCACTGCCCGTGGTGCTGGAGGGAGTCGCCATATTCTAATTGGACGGCTTTCGTCATAACAACGCACACAGCTTGGATCGCTTTTTGGACTTGTCCACCATCTGCCCGCCGGCGGATGAAGTGGAGGACGAGGCGGACATGCGGCCCATGCTCCCGGATGCCTGCGGCTGCGAGGGACTCGTGGGACTCTTGTCGTCCATGTCCTCGCTGACATGTGATTCTAGGAGCTTCAGCGAGGTCTTCGGCTTTGAGCCATCCATGCTGTTGTACAGAGTCTTCGATAGCTTCGATCGAACTGCCTTGCCCAGGGCTCCGGTCTTCTTCATGCTCAATCTGGAGCCACTTCGCTGGTGCTCCGGCGTGTGGCTATCCTCGCTGCCATGCTGGGATTGCTGATTGCAATTGAGCGTGGTCACCGTGAACTCGATATCCTTGATCTCCTCATCCGCACAGGCGGCAAACTCCTCCACGGGCTTGTCAATGGTATCGTGATCGATCCAGGTTAGGCCCATTTCCACTTTTTCCGCCAGATCCTGCCAATTGCGTCGGTTCTCCAAGGTTCCTTCATAGAGGGGAGTGATCCAGGGAAAGGTGTCGCACAGCACTCTGTAGAGGGGCAGGCAGATCACGTCGATAAAGCCCACCTGCATTTTAGGCAGCTCGTCCTTGCGCTCCCTAATAATGATTCGACTTTTAAAGTACGCATTTTTAGGATCATACTCGCAGGTTACCTGTCCATCATGGCCACTGGTTGGGTGTTGAGCTGCAACTTCTCGAGGTCTCCTTGGTCAAAGAACTCATCGGCCACCAACTTGGCAACCTTGTGCTGGACCTCCCAAGGCTTGGCAATGGCACTCACATCGCAGGCAGTCATCATCATGCCGCAAAGTACTAAAATCAATTGAAATTACGTATTTGTCATAAGAGCTATGAGAATAAATCATTAAGCTTGGACAAACTTCAAAAAAAGGCTAAAAAATTGCTCAGTATTTGGAAGTATTAGCAAGTATTTGGACTCACAATCTTTCTTCTCCTCGCCCTGCCAATCGAATTCCCCATTTTCCACCAACTCCAGGAAAGCGTTCCTTTTCTTGAAATACATGGCCAGATCGGTGGACAGAATGGCGCTTTCCACGGTCTTCATGACCGAACGATAGTCCTCAGGTGACAAGGCCTAGGAAAGAAGCAAACATTTAAATTCGCCTTAGTCAATTCCGCTGCTAATAGTTATTTAAAACCTAACAAGCTCCATTCCTAAGTGGTATCACAAAAACACCTGTGCCTATGACGTCACGGTAGTACTACACATGAGCTTAAACATAAATTCACCCCCTATTGAAGTCAAGGTGGAGTTATTCGCAGATAATTTGTTAAGCAAACATTGTTGGTTTCTTGGCGGTCGTCAGACAATCTTGCTTTTAGTATAAAAGCGATATTTTCCCAGCAGAAGGCATATCAGTTCTCAATCGAGGCCTACAACATGAAGTTGTCCCTTGTTCTCTTCGTCCTTTCGATGGTTTTGTATGTGGCTCAAGTTAGAGCTGCTGGCTCCTCCTCAAGTACGGAGTCGAGCACTAGTACTAGCACCACCACGGACAGCAGCACCACGGACAGCACCACCACGGACAGCACCACCACAGAATCCACCCCTACGTCCTCTTCATTTAGTTCCGGCTCAAAGAAGAAAGTCGTGCGTCTCAGCAATCTGAAGTACGCGATCAAAAGGAAAATCAGGGTGGGATCCTCTAGCAGTTCCTCGGCCAGATCCAAAGGTTCCCGCGCCAAGTCTCGCAAGGCCCGCCTAAATGCCGCCAAACGCTCCAAGAAGGCCGCCAGCCGAAAACTCAACAAGAAGTCCAAGAATCGCAGGGTACGCGTTATCCGTGGTTAGAGCCACAGTTTTATTTTTGAGAATAGATGGTTTAAATTTTATAAATAAATCATAATTGGCTTATATACTTCGTGACTCTGTAACCAGCACAAAATATTTTTTGCTCATTAAGGAGCTATGCACTTACCTGAAAAATATTATTTCCCTCCGAGTTGAGAATCATTACGCACTGGTCGAAGTGATGGTGCTCCATCGTGCTAGTAGTGTACAAAATGGCCAGCGGGGACTCCGTTTTGGTCTGGAATGCGTTGTTGGTGCCGCGATGATCCAAGTCGTGGCACAAACAGGCCACCAACAGACCCAGAATCTCCAAATCTGTCATAAAGCGCTCCATCTTTCCGGTTTTAAGCATGGCGAACATCGTTTGGGCCACGTTGAGAGCATGCCTCCAATTGTGGTATTTTACAGGGCGATAATTCTTCCGAACGCTTAGGACCCAACGGCAAAGGACCTGCAAATATAATTTTATAGAAAGAACAGGTAAATTGTTAACGTGTTCATTTAAAGAACCGGACTTACATCATAGGGTATCTGAAATTGCGAGACCAAATTGCACTGCATAAACATGCGTAGCACTGCGCGACAGGTGTCATCGTCGACCAGCTCAAAGTCTGGAATAGTAATAGCATATTTAGAATATAGCAGGGAATACGCTATAGTCACTTACCCGTGAAGGTGAAGCTGTACAGGTTGTAGGACTCCGCCTCGGCAATCACGTCCTGGGTGAGCTTCTCCGTCTGATCCTGGCTGGCGGTGGCGTGGTAACTGAGGCACTCGAGGGCCACCTTCTGCTTGGCCATCAACTTGCAGGCGTTCTCGTACATCTGGGTGTTGTGAATGCCCAAGCCGCAGAAGATGGCAAATGCCTCGAAAATTGAGGCGTCTGAGTCGGTGAAGGGAACTCCGTTGGCCTTGTAGTGATAATGGTAATAGGTATAACTCATGAATTTAGCAAGCAAATTAAGGCAGTGCATCACCAGTAATCACCTTGTTGATAAGTTGGGCCACGCCAATGACCTTCTTCTGCGCATTCATAATGGGCATGCAGAGGATGGCCTGAGTGCTATCTATTTCGTCCTCGGCCCGAATCTGATTGTGATCCCTGACCCACTCGATGACATCGCAGATGTTGACCGTTTGCCCGGTGGTGGCCACAAACTGGGCAATCTGCGCCAGCGTCGAGGAGCTCAGCTCGCTGACAGATGGCCTCGAAACATTGGCAGCCTGATACTCTCCACCGAGTTCGAAGAGCACCGTGAAGCGATTGCGCATTTTCTGTCCGATCAGTTGAATCAATGATTTGGATACGAGTCAAGCGTCAGGTGGACTCACCTTCTCCTCGAAGCTATCTGCGGACTTGATGGCGCGGGTGGCTGGCTGATTGGGCTTCTCAATTATCTTCTCCAAATGGCTCTGTGGCGAGAGGGGCGAGAGGAAGGGCAGAGGGCACATTAAGTGGCTGCCACTAATGGAGCTCGTAACGGTTTTCCCCCAAGCCGCCAACTTGTTGATAAATTGCATTGCCCCATTGCATCGCGCGCGCTTCCACCCGAAACGTAGAAAAAAGTGTAGTTTTCAAAGGTTTGAATTGAAAAATTAAAAAAAACTAAGTCAGCTTTCTGGATAAATGCTAACATTCCGCATTAAATTGGATTTTCCTAAATGAAGAGGTTTTGTCACTTGTATTATTGTAATAAAGTTATTATAGAGGTGTAATTTTGGCTTAGTTGCCATTGTGCATAAGTACGTTCTATACTATAACTTTATGATTTCATAATAATTCTTTCAGTGCATCAGAGGTCGCACACAGTCGACCATGCGCCCAAACTTCCCCACCCTCCGCCGCCCGCCCGAGCATAATTAAGCTGACATGTTGCACATGACGGGCATGTCAGCCAAGTTTTCAGAGTCCGTCCGGCGCAACTCGACCGGTCGTGCCCCATGTGGGCCAGTTCAGCTTTATGGGCTAATAAATTGTCCATTACACTTACATGCATTTGCGTTATCAGCTGGCAGCGGATAATGGCTAATTTGGCCTCGCAATTTCCCGAATTAAACAATCATCGAAGTCAACATTATTAAATTTGGCAGTTCGAACTATCAGGCACATATCGAATTAATAGCAGTTGCCGTGTGAAATTAAAAGCTTTCATTTGGTTCAAACAAAGGCCGTTCCATTACAAATGCAAGGCCTTCATTTTTGCACCACTGGCTACAAATTAATGCAGCAGTAGTTTAATGACATGCATTCATCAAATTGGCCAATCAAAATATCTCTGATGTATGAATGGAATGTGCCAGGGAGCTGGCCATCTGTTTCACTCCTCTCAGGGGCAATTTCATTTATAATTTTAATGCATTATTCCTGAAGGAATATCCTTCGGCATTATTCATGCGCCCTGTTGGCCCAGCCGGAATATGTAAAACAATTGAACACGTGTTCTTCCTTCGAAGTAATTGTATCTCGATAAATTTACCCAAAAGCAAGATTCGAATGAATAATTACTTGCTCGAAAACAATGGAAGAATGCAGTTTAAGTTAAATGAATTCATTTCATGACGTCAATGATGTCGCCCCAAGGAATTTCCATTGAGGGGCTTGATAAATTTCGAATGAATATGTTCAGTCAGGTCGGTTTTAGTTACTCGTAACTGCTTTCTAAATACTTGCTTTATTGTGTGATAATTGCTACGTATAACAGGCTAACCTAGCTAATTGTTGATACATCATTATATTCATTTACATAGTTTTGTATACATCCGCACCTTTATGAAAACCTGTTCTTAGATTAGTTACGCTTTCGATCATAATAATTACATTAATTCGAAAACAAGTCAATTTAATTAAAGGCAGGCAATCAGCGGAAGTTGGGTTCAAATGGAAATTGCCCAGACTTGGACATTATTTTACAAACCCCCAAGGACTTTTCACCACCGAGCTGTCAGAATTTCACGCGATGCCTGACACTTGGTTATTGTTGAATTCCAGCCACGTGGAGACGCCACACTTATACCCAAAAACATAAAATAAAACCTCATAAATTGAACAGTTTCAGTTCCTTTGGGTTGACGAACACACAAACACAATGGTCACGCGGTGTCGTTTAAAATATGTTAATTAAACTGAAGGACATAGGGTGGTGTCCACAGGATTTAGCTTTATTATTTATGCATAATATTTGGGAAGAACTCGGCAATCACTAACAATTTTGCTGGGACACACTTGTGTTGTCCGAGCAAGTGTGTCACTTAATTTAAATATCAATATCGATTTAGACCAGGGACGTAGTGCGCAGACAATGGCGTAGCACAGAGGGGGGTAAATTCTATATTTTACCTCCAGAAAGGTTACTCATTTTGTATAATATGTGCGCAGTTATTAAGTGGTTTTTATTACTTTCAAATTTACCCCATTCCTAACTACGCCGTAATTATGTAAGAATTAAATCTAAGAAATCTTAGAAATAAATACGAATGGATTAATGCCTTTAATCTAGATAATGACTACAATTTATTTGAATAATTGCGTATACACGTTCTGATACTATCGCCCCACTTCTATATAAACCCCAACCATATTCCGATTCGAATCAGTAAAAAAATGTATTCTATTGCGAACATAAGTTTCTAAAGTGACAGTGTTAGTATGTTAACCATCAATTTGTTACTGGTGGCCGGAGCTCTATTTTGGATATATTTCTTATGGAGCCGCCGAAGGCTATATTTGCTCATGCTAAGGATACCCGGACCCATAGGGCTACCCATTCTTGGCAGTTCCTTGGAAAATATCATCACCTATAAACGTAAATTTTATTATAGAACACAAGCGACTAAGAAATTAATTAGCCATATGGAATTATTTGAACCTACCAAAAATAGGTAAACTAAGCTTTCGAACAAAGTATTTGAATAAGTATGGCTCGACCATTTTAACGTGGATGGGGCCGGTGCCTTTTATAGTGACACGAGATCCGAAGATTGTCGAGGATGTCTTCTCGTCTCCTGATTGCCACAACAAGAGCCAGCATATAGTGAATGCTATAACTTCCTGCATGGGAAATGGATTGCTGGGAAAACAAGGTACTCCAATTACTGCATTTTGGCAAGATAATCATATTTTAATTCAGGCACTTAACAGATCCCGATTGGATTGATCGCCGCAAGCACTTTAATCCTTCGTTCAAACAGGATCTCCTGCTCAGCTTCTTTCACATTTTCGATGCCGAGACGAAAATGCTAATGAATGTTCTGGACACTTGTGTCCACCAGGACGAAACTGATGTGGTTCCAGACATGCTCAGATGGTCGTTCAGAATAGCCGCTCGTAAGCCATCTACTCAAGGTACTGTTTGATAAACTGTTGTGATTATGGATTCCTTTCTTAGAAACCACAATGGGTTCTGAAGTTAAGCATGACGAGCACTTCAAAAATGGCAGCCTCGTGGAATGCTTCGAATCGTAAGAGAAACGTTTACCAATTTCAACGACAATTACATTTATTTTGGCGTTGATAGGCTCATATCTCATTCCACTCTAAATATATTGATGCCCTTGGTTCAAAACAACATAGTTTCGAAACTATGCAGCTATGATAAGCTACGAGCTGATAACTTTTCTAGAATTCAAAAAATGCTGGACAACGTAAGTAAAGGAGCTCCTTAAATATTTGTATCTTAATCCTTTTTGCCCAGGTGGTTAGTAAAAAGGTCGACCTGTCGCCAGAGAGAGATTCAGATCCGGAAATGAATATTGTGATAAATCGGGCAATGGAACTGTACCGCAAGGGCGATATATCCTATATGGATGTGAAGAGCGAATGCTGTATTATGATTGCCGCCGGTTATGATACATCAGCTCTTACAGTGTACCACACTCTCTTTCTCCTGGCCAATCATCCCGAGCACCAGGATGCGGTCTTTGAGGAGCTCAGTGCTGCCTTCCCAGAGGCCGGACACTTTGACATAACATACCCGGATATGCAGAAGCTGGATTATTTGGAGCGCGTGATAAAAGAAACCCTACGTTTAATTC